ATTAAAAAATTCATTTATTTTAATTTATTTTTTGGCCACACTCTGTGGCTTGCAGGCCAAGGATTGGACCCTGGCCCCAGGAGTGAAGGTGCTGAGTCCTAACCACTGGACCATCAGGGAATTCCCTGAAACTTTAAAAAAATGGACATACTGACATTATATGCCAATGTCTTCTGGAAAAGGAGTGAATAAGCCAAATAAAACCATACCATACTTTGTTTGGTTGAATGGCATCACCAACTTGATGGACATGAGTTTGAGCAAGCTCTGGGAGCTGGTGATGGACAAGGAAGCCTGGCGTACTGCAGTCCATGGGGTCACAAAGAGTCTGACACAACTGAGTGACTGAACTGAATTGATGCTATGTTTGTTATTTGCTTCCATATAGAGGTCTCTGAGTCGGCTTCCCTCATAGCTTAGTGGGTAAATAATCTGCCTGCAATGCAGGAGACCCTGATTCAATTCCTGGGTTGGGATGATCCTCTGGAGAAGGGATAGGCTACTCATTCCAGTATTCTTGGGCTTTCCTTGTGGCTTAGCTGGTAAAGAATCCACCTGCAATGTAGGAGGCCTGGGTTTGATCCCTCAGTTGGGAAGATCCCCTGGGGAAGGGAAAGTCTACCCACTCCAGTATTCTGGCCTGGAGAATTCCATGGACTGTTGTAAAGAGTCAGACATGACTGAGCTACCTTCACTTTCACTTTCAGAAGTCTCTGAAGGTGACTTTGGAGAAGGCAACCAAGCTGTCTCCTCTTCCCCATCACAAATAAGGGAGTTAAGTGGCCAAAAGAGGCTGTGGGATAGATCTGAAGGTGGGCTTTGTGATTGCAAAGTGAAAGTGAACATGTTAGTCTCTCAGTCATGTTAAGACTCTCTGTGACCCCATGGACGAAGCTCCTCTGTCTATGGGATTCTCCAGGCAAGAAAACTGGAGTGGTTTGCCATTCCCTTCTCCAGGGAACCTGGGTGTCCCCTACTGCAGGCAGATTCCTGACTGCAGGGGATTGATAAATGCAGGAGCCTCTGGAAGATAGAAGTGACATCTTCTGGTCCCCTGGGCATCTAGTACCTTTCAATATTGGCCAAAAACCACCACCTCCTGATGCTTGCCAGTGCCCGTATTCATCTTCTGGATCCAGCTCAAACGCACCTCCCCATCCCCTAGACTTCCTGGCATTGCCGTGAAGCATCATGGGCTTTTCTTTCCTGTTCAGTACTGTGACTTTTGTACCTCTATTTAGCACCTATGTCGTTCTCCCTGCCTTACAGCCAAGTCCTTGAGTTCCCCCCTGCCCTGAGCTCTCAGAGGGTGGGATCAGTTCTGTTCATCTTTTAAAATTTATTTATCTATATTTAGTTGCGCTGAGTCTTCATTGCTGCTTGGGCTTTCTCTAGTTGCGGTGAGCAGGGGCTACTCTCTAGGGGTGGTGTGCAGGCTTCTTATTGCAGGGGCGTCTCTCTTTGCAGAGCATGGGTGCTAGGGCCTTTGGGCTCAGTGTTTGCAGCACTTGGGCTCTGGAGCACGTGGTCTTCAGTAGTTGTGGTGCTCCGGCTTTGCTGTTCCACAGCATATGGAATCTTCCTGGACTATTGACCAAACCCTGTCCCCTGCATTGGCACGTAGATTCTTAGCCACTGGATCACCAGGGAAGATGGTTCTGTTCATCTTTACTATCCACATATAAGATAACACCTTGTACAGATTTGGTGCTTATTAAGCTATGCTGGACTTTACAACAATGAGTTGCTGCCTGTTGGTGGTGGTTTTTTTAAAACCTCATTAAGTTTGACAAGCAAAATTGATAATACTTATCAAATGCACTTTGTACAATGCCATGCATGCATAAAAAATAGGTACTGTTACACTCTTTTGGTAGGAGTGTAAACTGGTTCAACTTTTCTGGAGAGTAATTTGAATTACTTAGAATTTTTTGTGTCTTTTGGGCAAATTATTTTCATTTTATTTTCTCTCTTCTTCTGTCCCCTCCCCTCCCATCTCTCTTCTTTCTTATCCTCACAAGGGGTTGTTGAATGGCTTTTCATCAAGTATTGCTACTATTATATTCAAGGCAACATTTTGAAAAATACTAGCAAAAATGGGGCCAATGTTAATATGGATTTGAATAAACTATAGTTTACATTTATGATAAAATAGCATGTAACCTTACAGTTGGTGATATATGAATATTTGTTAACCACATAAACCAAGTTTATGCAGATGGTGACTGCAGCCGTGAAATTAAAAGACGCTTGCTCCTTGGAAGAAAAGCTATGACTAACCTAGACAGCATATTAAAAAGAAGAGACATTACTTTGCCAACAAAAGTCCATCTAGTCCAAGCTGTGGTTTTTCCAGTAATGTATGGATGTGAGTGTTGGACTATAAAGAAAGCTGAGTTCCGAAGAATTGATGCTTTTGAACTGTGGTGTTGGAGAAGACTCTTGAGAGTCCCTTGGACTGCAAGGAGATCAAACCAGTCAACCCCAAAGGAAATCAGTCCTGAGTACTCATTGGAAGGACTGATGCTGAAGCTTTAACTCCAATACTTTGGCCACCTGATGCGAAGAACTGACTCATTTGAAAAGACCCTCATGCTGGGAAAGATTGAAGGCAGGAGGAGAAGGGGACAACAGAGGATGAGATGGTTGGATGGCATCAGTGACTCTATAGACATGTGTTTGAGCAAGCTTCGGAAGTTGGTAAAAGACAGGGAACCTGATGTGCTGCAGTCCAAGGGGTTGCAAAGAGTTGGACGTGACTGAGCAACTGAAGTAACTAAACAAAGTTATAAAGGCTAATTACAAAATAGGACTCATGATATAATTCCAATTTTGAAGGAAACAGAAGGATATATCCATGGAAAAATATCTGGGAGGATTTACACTTAAATGTTTTAACCCTTTATTTGGGTGGTGGGATTTCAGGGCATTTTAACTTTCTTTTTATTTCTCTGAATTTTCTCAATTTTCTACCATGAATGTATATTATGTTTAGAACATGGAAAAATACCTTACATTGTCTTGAGTGGATTCTCTGAGTAAACCCTTTGGTCCTCAAATTCTACATAGAATGAGAATTTTTACCTCTTCCCTACCATTTTGGTACCTTTTACTTCTTTTTCTTGTCTGATTGCTGTGGCTAGGACTTCCAATACTATGTTGAACAGAAGCAATGAAAGTGGGCATCTTTGCCTGATTCCAGATTTTAAGGGGAAGGCTTTCAGCTTTTCACCATTGAGTATTACACTGGCTGTGGGTTTGTCATAAATGTATTTTTTAATTATGTTGAGATACATTCCCTCTATACCCACTTAAAATGTTTTTAAGTAATTTTATTTATTATTCTTTCTACTTCTTCCCCCTCCCCTCCCACCCCTATTTTCCTGTCCTCTCAAGGGGTTATTGAATGGCTTTTCATCAAGTATTACTGCTATTCGTGGTGATGTTTTTAAAAACACTAGCAGGCTATTCTGGGTCTTCGTTGCCACGCGGGCTTTTCTCTAGTTGCAGCAAGTGGGGGCTACTATCTAGCTGTAGTGCACACACTTCTCACTGCCGTGGCTTCTCCCTAGAGCGTGTGGGCTTCAGTAGTTGCAGCTTGTAGACTCTAGAGTTCAGGCTCAATAGCTGTGACACATGGACTTAATTGCTGTGCAACGTTTGGGATCTTCCCAGACCAGGGATCTAACCCATGTCTCCCACACTGGCAGGTGAATTCTTTCCCACCAAGCCACCAGGGATGCCCTAATTTTTTAAATAATTAATTAATTAATTAATTTTTAAGTCTTTATTGAATTTGTTACAATATTGCCTGTGTTTCATGTTTTAATTTTTTAGCCCCGAGGCACAAGGGACCTTCCTGACCAGGGATTGAACCTTCATCCCTTGCCTTGGAAGGTGAAGTTTTAATCATTGTACTGTCAGGGAGGTCCCCTCTATGCCCACTTTTATGAGCATTTTTTTTTTTTAAATCACGAATGGATGTTGAGTTTCATCAAATGCTTTTTCCTCCATCTATTGAGATGATTACATGGTTTTGTCTTTTCTTTCACTGATGTGGTGTATCACATTGATTTGTGGTCCTCAAATTCCGAAAACACCAGTAATCACATCAAAATGTAGGAAGTCAGGGTTAGAAGAGCTGTCAGGAGTTTTTCGGGCCAGAGGCTCTCAAACGTGGCTGCACACTGGAGTCACCCATGAAGCTTACCAAACTCTGCAGCTCAGTCCAAGCTCTGTGCGGGTAAATCAGAATCACTGGGGTGGAGGCAGGCATCCGAGGGTTGCATCTCCCCAGGTGATTCTGCGGTGCAGCCAGCTGTGAGAACCACTGGTAATAAGCCTCTCTGTCTCACGTAGCAGTCGCTAGCCACACGAAGTTATTTAAATGTCATTGTAATTAAGTAAAATTTAAAATTGAGTTCCTTAGTCACACTAGCCATATTTTAAGTACTCACTAGCCACATATGATGAAAGACTACTATCTCAATGCTGTTCTAGATCTACTCAAATTTCAGCAGAAGAGACTGTGGAGGTTCCTGGCCGGGGTGTGTGTATGCATACTCAGTCACTCAATCATCTCTGATTCTTTGCGATTCCACGGACTGTAGCCCCCCAGGCTCTACTGTCCATGGGATTTTTCAGGTAGGAATACTGGAGTGGGTTGCCATTTCCTCCCCCACGGGATCTTCCCGACCCGGGGACCGAACCCGAGTCTCCTACGTCTCCTGCATTGGCAGGCGGATTCTTTATCACTGAGCTACCAGGGAAGCCTCACCTGGCAGGTGGGCACCCTCCTTATAGCAACCCTGATGTTTGTGAAAGGAGAGGTCCCTAGCCCTGCCTTCTCCAGATCTGCCTAGGCTGTAGGTAACAGTGTGTCTAGAAAGTTCTCTCTGCTTTCTCAGGGCTCCTCCCTCCTCTTCCTTGAGCACAGGGAGGTTTTCTGCTCCATGATTGTTCTCAAGGACGCCACAGGCCCAGGCCCTCCCGACCAGGCCAGCAGGCGAGCAGTTTACACGGAATCCAAGCGCTCAGCGGGGAGCAGAGCAAGGCCGAGTGTTTTCCCCAGCTGCTGAGGAAGGTGAGTGAGCCCAGGCAGAATAACAAAAAGCCACTTCAAAAACAGACCAGAAGAGTCAGAGAGCAGAGACAATCAGAGGTTTGAGACACACACACCTCCCTCAAAACCCTGGCAAGAGAGCAAAAACAAGTCAGGGGGAGCCTCTCGACCTTCTAGTTTCGAGACCGTCGCGGTTGCTGACTTTGAGAACGGGGCCTGTCCCAGCTAGTTCTGAGAGGAGCCAGGAGCTGAGGCTGTGGGGGCTCAGAAACCTCACCTGAGTTCTGAGAACTGTATGGCCTGGTGGGGGGACAGCCCCTGAGTGCTCTGGGTCTCTGGGAAGACTGGGTGTGTGGGAATGGCAGACCCAGGCTGGCTGGGTGAGAGTTCGGGGGCTGTTTTAACCTAGAGGCTGGCTGCCGTTTAGAAGCGGAACACCACCCAGCCTGGGCTCTGGGACCTGCCCCCGGGAGATGGGTGGGGGGAGGTGGACACAGTCCGTCAGGGAATTCCCACGTACAGGCCACCCGTGTCTAGGAGACTCCTCTTTCAGAACTCTGCCATGAAGACGCCAAGCCAGAAAGGGAAGCCTGCTGCCCCCTTCCCATCCCCAATTCTGTAGGGCAGTAAACTACAGCGCAGAGAGCCCTGGGAATAGAGGACTTGGCTCAACCCCCAAGCACTGTCACTTACTTGCTATGTGATTTTGGGCAGGTCAGTTTACCTCTGGACTGTAGTTTCTTGACCAGTAAATTGTAGGGTTGGTTTAGACCGATGGTTCTCAACTCGGGCTACGAGCTACAAAAATAAACAAGATTCTGCTTGTTCTGGGAGACAGCCTAGACATCAGGATTTTTAAAAAATCCTTCAGTGATTCTAATGTGTAGGCAAGAATGATAACCACTGGTCTATCCAGATTCACAAGTGCATCATGCTTGGGAGTCAAAATTGAGATTCAAATTCCACAGGACTGGTGTAGGGCCTGAGAAACTGCCTTGCTCCCAAGCTCCCAGGTGGTCCTCATGGATCACATCTTAAGTCATAGCAAGTCTATCTTTAACATCCAGGAAACTGAATTTCAGGCTCCAGCAACTCAATCTGTTTCTGTTTGTTGTGTTGGTAGCTGGCAGTAGTTGCATATTTCTACCCATAGACATCATTCTTCTACATTCTTTCTTTTTCCTCCCTCTCACATAAGAATCATCTATGATTCAAATCTCACTGTTTGAATTCTGACTATTCTCTCTGGATATGAATCAAACAGGAATCGTCTCTTCAAGGGCAGAAAATGAAAGATAAAGCCAGACTGTGATGTGAGTTCAAGGTGGATGGACCATTTTTATTGGAAGAATGGGGAAAGACTCCATGTAGCAGATAACAACAGTTAACAAATTGGGCCTCCACCTCTCCTGGGCACTCTTCAAGCTTTACACAGTAGTCTCATTTACTCCTCACACCAACAACATGGTAAGTACTGATCAGGTCCCCCAGTTTACACATGAGGAAGCTGAGGCTTAAAGAGAATCAGATACTTTTCCAAACAAGGAACAGATGTGGGACTTAGACTCACATCTCTGTGTTGACTACTAGTCCACAAAGGTCATGGGCAGTATTTGAGTGCGTCACCAACCAGACTGAACTCAGCCTAAGCAGATGCAACCAGACTCAACCAGGTTTAGTCAGACCCAATCAGACTCAACCAGACCCAGTTTCTTGGCACTGATTAGTTGTTGGTGAGGAAATGGGTGGGATGGGGTTTGCATGAGTTTAGTTTACTTAAGCAACCCCTATACTCACCTTCCATAAACACCACTACTCTCCCATCAGAAAACATAGTAGTTTTCCACCCTGGGCCCAGGCTTCAAGGCCTTTACCCTGGCATCTGGGTTCATAGTAATACTTTTTCCTACTTGACTGCCTATCTCAATATAAATCTCTGCCACGTGCATCTTTTTCTACTTATATCATTTTCTTTTCTTCATGGGAGCAGGCAGTGTGTCCAGCTTTGTGACTGTTTTATCTTTTTTTCTTTTTTGTAGGCTTGTCCCTCATGAGGAGCCTAGAGTATTACCCCTCACCCCCAAAGGGTGCTGCATAGAAGACCAACTGAAGCTACCATGATTGCTGCAAATTCTCAACATCTCAGATTCCACTGGGTTCTCTGCCAAAATGGTAGTCAACAGCCCAACCCAACAGTTTTTCCAACTTGACTCAAACTTTCTTGTCTCGTTTCCTCATATTGGGGTTGTGGGGCTGGAGTGGGGGTAGGGAGTGAGAAAGCAAGCTTGGAGGCTTCACTGTGCCCCCACTAAGTCTTGAGTTCCTGAAGATGGGGCTTTGTCTTCTCCTTTTTATATCCCCAGAAGAGAATACGGTGCTGGGGAGACAGATGCACAGTGATGCCTATCAGATGAGCAAATGAAGGTGATTCGGGGGCACTTTCTGATGCACTGAACAAATGGCCACACTGATGGTTTGTCCTCCTGGGCCCTCAGGCAGGAGTCACTTGGCACAGGCTTCAGCTTGTGAAGTCCCCGGAAACCTGTGGGCACAGTTCCTGGGAAATCTTTCATTTTCACCACATCTTCTAAGCTTCTACAGCAGCTCAGGAAGGGGGTGGTTTTCTTAGAGAGCCCAACCCATTGATATGCTGGGTGGGTTGTTGAAAACCAACCTGGAGAGCAATCAGAAGAGACCCACTACTCTTTAGGGGGCCCCGGGATTGTAGAATGATGGGGGCCCAGGGAAGGGGGAGACCCCTCTCTTTTTTATCTTCCAGAGAAGTGTTCATCTTACTGTAGTGGGTATTTCTTAAAAGTGGGATGAAAAAGGTGACATGTTCAGTTCACAGAGAAGAATTTTCTTCTGCCGATAGTTTTTCTCATGTTATTAAAAAACAGAAAAGGAAGAAAATACAAAGGAAAGAAATCATATATGTACCAAGATGCTAACTGTGCTCAAGAATCTACAGAAACTTAGAGAAAGACAAATATCATATGATACCACTCATATGTGGTTATCAAATGTGGGTACTCATATGTGGCTATCACCCATGTGTGACATCACTTGTAATTGGAATCTAAAAAACGACGTAAACTAACTCATTTACAAGACAAAAATGGACTCACAGATTCTGAAAACAAAACTTATGTAGGGGAGGGGAAGGATAAATTCAGAGTTTGGAATTAACGTACTATTATATATAAAATAGCTTACCAACAAGGACCTGCTGTGAGTACAGAGAACTCTACTCAATATTCTGTAATGGGAAAAGAATCTGAAAAAGAATGAATATATGCATACACATAACCGAATTACTTTTCTGCATACCTGAAACTAACACAATATTGTAAATCAACTCTACTCCAATAAAATTTAAAGAAAGAATCTAAAGAGACTGCGCTGGTCAACTGGTCCTAGGGGATTGTTTCTATTTATTCAACTTCTGTTCTTAAGTAAGAAAATACTGCCCATCCAGTTCCTTAGGAATCCCTCTTATCTTTTGAATCTTACAAGAAATAAGCCAAGAGAAACCTGTCCCCACTGCTAAGGTGACTGTTCCAGTGGGAGAAGGTCCAGCACCAGGGGCAGAAAGAATTTAGGAGAGGCCCCCAAGAGTTCTAGGGCTGGAGGCAGGTGGGCGCTGCTCTAGGTATCACGCATTGTTGTAGACTCAAACTTCTTCCTCTGGCTTCCCTAGGAAATGGTTAATCCATTTACACTGTCTCTGCTGAAAGCATCCTTCATCCCAGCGGGATGTAAATGGCAATTGGTGCTATTTATATCTCCATCTTCAAGAAATAGCTGCCTTCCTTACATTTTATTGCCCGAGTTAGTGTTTTTGATTGTGTGGAACCATGAGGTGGGCCTAGGAGAATGGATTAATTAATCTTGTGTTTAACAAGCATCTTTCTTGAGGGTCTATTGGCTCCTGTGACTTTTATCTGTATGTTGTTGACTTTTAAACTTTTGTTTTTGCTTTGACCTCTATCTTTAACATTAAATTCCTATCTTTAACAAAAAAAAAAAAAAAGGAGAGGAAGAGAGAGAGAGATAGAGAGAGGGAAAAGAAATAGGATGTAAATGGTAGAGGGGAGCCTATAGAAATCATTCTCTAATACATACTCAGTGATTCTGTTTCCAGGTGCAGAAGTTGAGGCCGGGAGATGTGTTGCGATTTGCCTAAAGTCTCATAGAAAATCAGTGGCAGAATTCAGACCAGGGCTTTCCCCAAGGTCCTGGATAGACCCTTGAAGTCACGGCATCATAACTGATTCACATCTTCTTGGACCCTGTTGTTCTACACGGGAGACTGGTCTCCTCATGGGCAGGGACCTTCCACTTCATCCTCTCTGCATCCCTGCACCTCCCACTCTGGTGCTGGTAGAGCCTGGTGGTTCCAGAGGGATATGAGGAGTTAAACTGGGTGGTTAAATTTGACTTGTGAGACTCGGTGGTAAACAGCATTGAAGTGAGGCAGGCGGGCCCCACCCCATCCTCTCCACTCAGCTATGTCTGAAAAGACTTGGCTCGAACCTCGCCTTGTTTAAGAAGACTGTCTAGACCAACTCCGTCTTTGAATTTTGGAGCAATTCCTATCTGCGTCTCTCATTTAGGGCCCTGTATATCTGGTGGCTCTCACTGGTGAAGAATCTGCCTGCTACGCAGGAGATGAGGGCAGGAGGTAAGGATTGGATCCCTGAGTCGGGAAGATCCCTTGGAGGAAGGAAATGGCAACTCACTCCAGTATTCTTGCCTGGAAAATCCCAACCCATGGTGTCTCAAAAGAGTTACACACGACTGGGCAACTGAACAATAACAAAATATACTGATTTATGTGAGGAGGAGGCGGCATTGGTTCTAAGTGTGGGCTGTGGCTATCAAGCATGTGTTTAAGCTCCTCTCCATCATTTTTAGCCCCGTGATCTCAGATGACTCCTCTGAGCCTCCGTTTACCTGTAAGATAGCTCTAGGGACGATTCCTCCCTCCCCGGCTCCTTGTAAGGATTAATTGGGACAAGCCACGGAAAGCATTCAGTGCTGTACCAGGCACTCAGCGCATTTTAGCTATTATTGTAAATTTTCACAATGAAATGTTTTGTTTCTCTGCCTTCGTTGAGCATGGTTACCTTACCTGTGAACTGGAGGAAATGATGGGCAATCGTGGTGGATTGTTATGACAACCAAATGAGAGACTCCGTAGGAAAATGCTTTGTAAACTCTTCAGGTTTGGGTGTGAAGTGTGACCGCCCCCAAGATCACACAGCTGCTAAGAGGTGGTGCCCTCCTGGAAAAACCACACCCACCCCCAACACATACACACACACCACCACCACCGCCAGAAAACATCTAGGTGGTCTGATCCCCGATGGCATTCCTGTTCCTTGGTTATTTCAACGGCCATTCATTGAGAACTCCCAGGTCTTCTGAACCAGCAGCGGTGGGATAGAAAAAGGTGATTAACACGTGGACTTCATCCTCAGGAAGCTTACAATGCAGCAGGGGGGAGCGTGAGCAAATGTATTCTAAACAAGGCCAAGTGACACTGAAGCAGTAGCAACAGAAAGACAGAGGGAGGGGAAGTTTGGGGTGAGAGATAGTTTCATGGCAGGCTTGGCCTTGGGGCCAGTCTTTGGTGGATGAGTAGTGTATCGTTTGCTCTGGTTGCCAAAACACACTGGGTTGCATACACAATGGATATTTATTTTCTCACAGTTTTAGAGGCTAGAAGTCCTAGATCAAGGATTTGGCAGGACTGGTCTCTTCTGAGACCTCCCTCCTTGGCTTGCAGATGGATGCCTTCTCGCTGTGTATTCACATGCTCATTCCACTGTCTCCTTATAAAGATACAAGTCATATTGGATTACAGCCTACCCAAATGACCTAATTTGACTTTAATTATCTCTTTAAAGGCCCTATCTCCAAATACATTCTGTGGTATTGGAGGTTAGGACTTAACCACATTAACTGGGGTGGCAGGGGGCACACAGCCTATAACAAGTAGGACGTTTTCCATTTGCATGCATCCGTGCTAAGTTGCTTTCGTCATGTCCGACTCTTAGCCTATGGACTGTAGGCAAACCTTTGCCTACGGGCTGTAGCCCTCCAGGCTCCCCTATCCATGGGATTCTCCAGGCAAGAGTACTGGAGTGGGTTGCCATACCCGCCTCTATTTTCTATTTACATTTTTTCAATGATAAAAATATTCATAAAATGTGAACTGCTGAAAAGCCTAAGAAGGAATATAAAACCACTAAGAGATGACCATATCTGTGCCATATATACATACATACATACATATATATATATATGTATATATATATACACACACATACATACATATATATATATATGTATATATATATACACACACATACATACATATATATATATAAAACCTAAAGTGGGCTTGCACCTTATGGCACGTTGTTTTCAAACCTGCAATTTTCACTGGACAAGTATCTGATGAGCTTTCCTCCTCATCATTAAAAATTCTTCCACAACATCACTTTTAATGGTTGTGTGGTGGTCTATTGGAGGGATGTATCCAACAGAGTCAGCCTGTGGATAGTGACATTTTGATGGGCAAGACTGGGACAGAGACGTAGTCTTACAGGAGGAGATGGTATGAGATTCAAGGGCATAGTAATTGGTTACATACACTTGAGCAAATTGGGCCAAAAGAGTTCTCAGAATCAGGTAGATTATACTTGTAAGAATGTGTCTTTTTTTCGGTGGGGATACACTGTGGGTGAGAGGGCACACTGCTTCTGAGAAGCCCCAAAGGGTCCCAGGAATGAACCAGCTGTACAGTTTATGTCTGACTAGTTAGAATCTCAGTTAGGCCTTACAGGGCAACTGACATTCAATATTTGACTTTACACCATGAGACTGAGCTTGATGAGCACTTAATTGTTTTAATTGAGATGCTGCTTTTTTATGAGTGATTCTTAGTGATTGGTCATGATTACTTTCCTCCTCCCTCACTTCCCTCTTTTTCGGCCTCACTGTCTGTTCCTGATGAGAAGTCTTTGGTAAAACAAAGTCAAGAGTCAGGGACTTAGTGATAGAGATGTACTTGTCTTGTTTCATACTGAAGACTCTGAAGGATCTAAACAGGAAGTTCAAGCTGGACCAGGAGGGCTTCTAGGGAGAGAGGAGGTGGGGAGATGATGCCATCCTTGTGGGTTTGAAATGATCCAAAAGGTGTTTCAGTAAGGGAAAACACACTTAGGTTTCACTTGCTCTTCTGTGCAGATGGGAGAAGGGAAAAATTGAATGATCTTCTTGTGATTTGACAGAGAAAGACCACAGGACAGTTCAGGGATGCAGAGATGTCAGCTCCAATGTGATTTCTAAGACAACCCATTCTCAAGTGAGAAAACCAGTCAGACTTACAGATGTCTTTCAGGGCTCTTTTTATGGTTGTCTTTCAGGTAACCATTTCTAAAGCTTTAGGGATCTCCCCAGACCTTTTTGTTGACTGAATGTATCCAGGGACAGATTTGTTCAGATCAAGTCCAGCCTGAAAGAGTAATGAAAAATCATGTGAGTCCACACATCACCCTGGAGAATAAGATTTATATTCTTATGAAAATCTTCAACCTGACACCTTATTAAATCTGATTCTTTGAAGTATTTTTTGGATATAGAGTGGCACCTCTCCCTCCCCAGCTTCAGGGAAGACACGCCATCGTCTGTAGTTCCTTCTTAGATACTGGTGTTTTTGATGCTGGCTTGCTTTGGGGAGGGTGGGGGGCGGGGAGGTTGGTGACTTCATCAGTTGGCATTACAAAGAAGAAAGCAGACCCACTGAGCTCAGTTTTACTGGCAGAAGTAGGAAAAGGATCAAGAGAATAATACTTATTAATTGTGCCATGCTGAGTGTATATTGCTTTTTATTTGCCATCCTTTGAATTCCCTGTGATTGCAGAAACTGTAAGGCTTTCTTCTGGTGACGGATCGTATTGACACCCCTCCCTCGCGCTGTGGGCGTGAAAAGGGTTATGTAAAGGATTGCTACTTTTAGGAGCTAGCAACCCCTCCACTTTAGTGAGGACACAGGAAAAGTGAATCTGGGAAGGACGTAACTCATGTCAAACCTTTTTCAAATTCACATCATGCCAACTCAGTTAAGATAATCTGCTGTAAAAAAGGATTGATCAGCTTGCAACAATTCACCGCGGGATGACTTGAAACAGACAGTTCTTCTTGCGCATTTTATATGTTTTTCTTTTTCTTTTAACATGAGTCTTTGTTGAGATGGTACTGCATACCTAGCTCTGTAGGAAAACCACATAGGCCCGGTCTCAAAGGCGGACGCACGCCCCCTCATTTGGTGCAAGTGAGTTTTGGGTGTCTTTCAGCACCCATCTCCAGTGCCTAGTGAGAGAGTCGTGCCACTCGGAAATGCTGCCGAGGAACAGCGCCCACATCCCAGCAGACATTAATCCTGGAGGCTGGCAACCCCTCTCCAAATGTCTGCAAAACAACACGAGCCAGGGTCTAACAGACTCTCTGATGGGAACCAGGTAAGGAGGCAAGTCATGCACCCGAGGAGGAAGCCCAGGCCCGATGCCAAGGTGCCCAGGGTAAGCGTGGTCCTCAGGTCATTTCTGCGTCATTCAATTATGAAAAGCTGACTATTTAATTCATTTTAATTAAGAGGGCTGGTTCCACCCCTTGGCAGAAGACACTGTCAGTGGATGCAGAGTGAGATCTGGGGACCAGGAAGCAAAAGTGCCACCTCCCCTGCATCTGTCGCTGATGACTGAAATGATACCATGTCACTCCTCTCGTTACGCTTCATGAGTTGCTGTCCGAAGAACGCCAGAGGCAGGGCATTACTGGTGCCTTCAAGTGCTAAAGTCGAGGGGCCTGGGTGCGCAAGGAGGAGGTGTGAGGGGAAGGGATGTGTTTACATGACACAAAGGACAGTTTGTCTCATTCCCTGTTGAATGTACATTTCTTGAAGGCAAAGGGTTTTGTGTCTTGTTCACCCAGAACCCAGCCTGGCACGTCGTCAGAGCTCAGTAAATATTTGCTAAGTGAGTGATTCTCAAATGTTGAGCTGAGCTAGTGCTTCAGGTGAAGTGGTCGCTTCACTGCGAAACCCCGTGGAGAACAAAAGTGGTGTAAGGTTGCGTGCCTGTCCTAAGGTCATATGCTGTCCTATAACCCCTTGGTATTCATTCATTCACTTAATCATTCATTCATGGAACATCTATCTCTTCTGTAATATACGGTGTGTAATAGTCACTGGGGTACAAGATGAATGTCAACCAATATTCTTTAATACCCTCCCTGAGTGGGGCTCTAGGGATACCATGGTGACTCAGGTTGGGACCACATCCTTGAGAGGAGACATAGACTGTAAACCACAGATGCTGAACATCTCACTCCACCTGGAAATAGAGGTGCTGGTAAAAGCTTCTCAGAGGGGCACATGTGGGCTGCATCTTGATGGCAGGGTAGGCATTTGTGAGGCTGGGCCGAGACCAGGGGGAGGATTCAAGGTGACTGTGTGAAGGTCTGGCATCTCCCAAAGGTAGGCTGAGGCTACTCTCCAGCCATACTTCCTCACTCCCAGATTCCTCACCACCCAAACCCACTGATAGTATCTTTTCTTCTTACTAACTCCTTCATCATTCACTCCCAGCCTGGCTCACACTAGAGCTTGACTCCATAGTAAATGTACAGCACATATGTAGTTATTATTAGTAGTAATTTATATGTATTTATTTAAATTTTTACTTTCTATTGGAGTAGAGTTGATTGACAATGTTGTGCTAGTTTCAGATGTACAGTGAAGTGATTTAGTTATACGTATACCTATTTCTGTTCTTTTTCAGATTCTTTTCCCATATAGGTTATGATATGTGTTATTATTAACCCTAGTAAATGTAGGAACTGTCCCCAGATCTTGGTGACATTATTGGTGCTGGCATGGCTTGGGGACTGCAACTCCCACTGAGCTGTCCTTGGTTGGTCTGGCTTACTTGGGGACTTGTGTGAGGGGGAAAAGGCTGGCAGCATTAGGGCATTCTTGGGCTCTCTGTACCCATGATTCCCACCAGGCCCCACCCAGGACCAGTGGATGGTGAGCCTGTCCACATCGTCTAGCATAATGTGGAACCAGTGTCAGTGGGGCTGCCTGGATACACTGACAGCACCCACTCTTCATTTGGAGGCGTCCAAACCCAGGCTGGAGATCCTCTGAGAGAGCAATAGAGTGGTACATTGGACCTATGGGCCCTTCCACTCCCACAGTTTGTTCTGATCTAGCAATTCTTCAGGTCCTGAGTCTGAAACGTCAGAACCCAGTCACGTGGCTGTGACCAGAAGATGCTCTTAAAATGTCACTTGAAGAATGTTGTTTGGGTACTTTTACACATCAGCTGTTAATCTGTACAGGATTTTCCCCTTCCCAGGGTAAAGTGAACGAAGAGGAAGTGAAAACAGGAGGGGGAGAATTTTCGTACAGCATCTCTCGCCTCACAGACAACAACCGAAAACCCCCTAGGCTTTGAACAGAGTCTTGTACTTTCTATAGCTCACCTGCATCCATGGATTGCCTCATTTGGTTCTCAGAGCTCCCCCAGGTGGGAGGCAGGATTCTGAGCCGCCTGATTCCACTCTCATTTGCAGAGAGTAGGTACTTCTTAGGCAGGAGGCAAGGGCTCGGGACTGGCTATCCTGGTAGTAGTTCTTCAGAGCCATTCTAGAGAGGTGCGTTGGGTTTCTGAGTTTCTTCAGGGACTCTGGATGGAAGCTGATCCGTATCTGGTGGAGAAAGGCCTCTGTGACTAGGGATCTGAGCCAACAGTCCTTTGGCCAGAGCTCTTCGGCCAAGCCGGACAGGACAGGAACTCTGGTCTTCCCAGTGCTGAGTCACCACCACCTGCTGACCTCTCCCGCCACGGGACTCTCCTGGGTGCTGGGAATTCCCTCCCTCAAAATCCAGGGCCTCTGAGAAATTGTGATTGCATTATCTCCTACTGAGAAAGGGTGGTCTTACCAGAGTCCAGTAGGCGTGTTTTAACCTGCTTTGATAGTCTCCTGTAACAACTCATTCCTATACCGTCCAGCCAGGAGGACCAAGTGGGGGCTGAAATTCAGCCTGGGTTTGGAATCAGAACCCTCCAAAGAGCATCCCCCCTCCACTTTAGCAACTGGCTTATTGTGTGATCAAACCCAACTTGAATCTGAAGCCAATCTACTGATCCCAGGTTGTGGTGAGGAAAAGTTCAGTGTTTATTGTAGGGCACCAAAAGGAGTACAGGTGGCTAATGCTCAAAAGCCCCAAAATCCACGATGGCTTTCAAGGAAAGACTTTTAAAGACAGGGTGAGGGAGAGGGTTGCGTGGTACATGACTAACTTGTGGACATCCTTCTGATTGGTTGGTGGTGAGGTAATCAGGGATTAACACCATCAACCTTCTGGTTCCAGCTGGTCTGGGGTTACTTGCTTGTGGTCAGCACCTAGTTAACATCTTCCACTTGGTGGGGGTTTCGGTTGTCTGTGAACCAGCTCAGGGACATGGCTCAGAATATGATCTCTAGCCCTTGAGGAGGGACTAAATGTCCTTGACTTTGTTTAATTGCTAAGCTACCATTATTTTGTCTTACTTGACTGTTTTCCTTGATTTTTGCATTTTCTCTCTTCTCTAATTAAATTTGTTATTTGGGAAGGTCTAGGAGGCTAAAGTTTTTCTACAACTAAGAGGCAGGTAGAGGACATGTTGTCGGGGGGGGGGGGTCTTCCCAGGAAGGCCCCATTGGGTCCTGCTTGGTTATAATCCCCCCTTTTCTTTGATACTCCTCAATCTGGAAGGGTAACAGGTGCAGGACAAGAAAGGGATGAAATTTTGGATAAGCAGGTTAACCGTGAGCTTGGCAGAAGAACTCAGTGTGGGGGAACTCAGTTTTAGTTGATGCTCCTTTCTGTCTCTGCTCCAAACTTTCCACCAGGGCCTCCCTTGCCTCCCACAGCGCCCTCTCTCCATCTCCCACCGCCCTTTCAGAACCAGCTCAGATACCACACTTCTGAAGCCTTCCCTAGTGTCTGTACACAGGAAAGTTTGTTTCCCTCCTCTGACTCATGGGACCATGCACGTGGCCTTTGGTAGAGTCAGTGCATTCCTCTCCTCTTTCTCCAAGGGCCCAGGACCCCCTCATCTCTGAGTGTGCTCCATCACAGGACTCTCAAACCGCCAGTAAGTGTTGAATGAATGGCTGGAGAAGATCTGTCACTGGCTCCTCCACCTCTGTCTACCATCTTTTCTGGAGGAAAGGCAGTTTGTTCATGTATTTCTGAGTAAGAGGTCGGGAGGGAGCCAGGAAGAAATGTTCAGGGCAAACCCTGCCCCTCCCCCATCCCACCCCAAGATCTAGGAGAGCTGGAATCTTATCAGGGTTAGGGTCAAGGGCACCCAGTCAGGGTGATTTGAAAATGACAGAGCGTTCACTGATCTGGGCAGGAGGAAGGGGGCAGAAATCTTTGCCAGCAGGGTCTGGGCCCTGGAGGAATTTGCTGGCCAGCTGGCATGGGGGAGGGGAGAAGTCGGTTTCCAGATGAGGCCAGGGAGGCTCCATCCAGGTGTATTCCAGCTTCTTCTGGCTTTCTAGGGCCAGAGATGGAGGTAAATACAAGGAGCCAAGGTGCTGGGCAACCTCCAAGGGGGCCCCCTTTGACCCCAAAACCATGTCTCCAAATGGATAAAGCTCAGGGACAGAGTCAGTTCAACCACTAGTCAAATGTCCTAGTTCCTTCTCTTCAATCCAGGGGAAGCCTAGGGTCCTGGGATGGGCGCTGGCTGGAGACAGTTTGATGGGGATTCATTGGCATCCTTGGAGTCTTGAAACTGGATGAACAGGAAGCATACTGTTTAAAACAGACTTAAACAATCTCACACCTTTTGTGAAGCACCAAGGAGGAGCCTGTGGCATGTGGGAGGAGCTATGAGGTACTGGACCCACCTTCCCATCCCCTCACCCTGAGGCCCGTGGCGGCCCTCCTGAGTCATCTGCACACCCGCCTCAGGGCTGTAGCAAGTTGTCACTCAGCTGAGCTCAGCCCAGCAGCTGGATCTGTCTCTATCTCTTCTTTTTGATGGCAGCCTGGGATTGTTATCCTTCAAAGATCATCTCTTGGAAGGACACCAGCTCTCATTACATCTTCCAGCTTGCCTGGAGGCCAGTTCAGCTAATCCAGCATCTTTGGCCATTGGATTGCTTCTGGCCTGGGTGTTACAGACGCCACCTCTGGCACCAGTTGGGTGGGAAGGCGGACAAAATAATTAAGCCCCATGAGTTGAAAGGAGAATTAATTCCCCTGTACAGGCTTTTGTTTCTTCTCTTCCTGGGTAACTTCAGATGTGTTAATCCAGGATTGTTCTTTTTTTTTTTTTTTCTTTTGTAACAGGTTTAATTTGTAGCAGCACTTTTTTTTTTAAACTGTAGTTTTTCATTAAAATGTAGTCCATGTGAACTTTATAACACTAAAGATATTTCCTTTGTTTATGGTGAAAATGACTTAACTATACGAAACCCAGTTTTGCCAAGAGGAGTAAAAGATCACCCCTAATCTTACCACAAACACACTGGATTCGGTTTCTGTGTTTTCCCTTCTAGTTTTTCTCCGGATGCGTATTTAATCGTATGGCAGTATGATCCCAACATACATTTACTTTTTGAAAGAAACTAGTCTGAGAGTCTGGACTACCCGTGGCTCAGTGGTAAAGAATCTGCTTGTCAATGCAGGAGACGTGGGTTCACTCTCTGGGCTGGGAAGTTCCCCTGGAAGAGGAAATGGCAACCAACTCCAATATTATTGCCTGAGAAATCCCATGAACAGAGGGGCCTGGTGGGCTACAGTATATGGGGTCACAAAAAGTCAGACACAACTGAGTGACTGAGACAGCGGAAGCAATCTGAGAGCGTATGTATAGCCCCATCTTGCTACATATTCTTTCTTACCAGCATTAATTTGGAAAATACTTTCAGTATCATGATTTACTTAGCCAACCTCCTCTGGCTAGAAATTTCCTGGACTCTGTCAGTCCCTGGGGGTCAGGCAGAGAAGGTGGGCTAGCTTTAGAGCAGAGTTCAAAGGACTCCAATAAGCCGTCTTCTGCTCCTCTGCCCCCTGGCCCTGGGCCTGACTCCTGCCAGTTAGTTCCTGCCATGCTCAAGTACCCACCAAAAGGAGTGCCTCACTCATTGCTCTGTAGGGAAAAGGCCTTTCCAGGGCACATTTTTGCAAAGTCTTTGATTCATGCAGGTGCACATCCACGGGGCTCTGACCATTTGGATAGACATCTCTACCAGACAAAAGGCAAGGGGCCATGTCGTATTGGATCTTTATTACTGGTGCCTAGGAGGGTTCTTGGAATATAATAGATTTCAGCAGCTGTTTGTCAAGTGAAGGAAAATCAAAGGAATGATTCACAACTCATGAGGAAACTTGTCAGTCTCCAGTCCCCCGTTCTTTCCCCAGCCTGGGCTGTAGAATCTGAAACATGGCTCTGCTTTCGGGCTGAGAGCTTTGACTCAGGGCAAACAGCCTCATTATTCAACAGCTTATTTCTCCCTGCTAGGTAACCTCTGAACCTCTTTCCTTAGAATCCCGGTCTGGGTTGTCCCCTCCCCATCCCCGGACTTCAACCATAAAATGATGACAACGATCATGCCCCCACAGTCAGATTTAGGTCCCCCTTTATTTAACGGGGTGGCCATTGTTATCTCAGCTTGCCCAGGACTTTCCCAGTTTTAGCCCTGAAATCCCTCCTCAGTCCCAAGTAAAGGGGGCCGGTTTAGTCCTAGTTCCCCGGCATCCAGTTCTTAACAATGTCCTGTAGAGGGCGCTGGAGGCACAGCACAGGTGCGCGATGGATGGAGCATCTGTCTGCTCTCCTAGTTGGGAGGTAATATCACTCGGACACCAATTTACAAAGGGGTTTTGCCTCTGGCCAGAGTGAGTCAGAAAACAGCCCATCCCCTCCCCTCCTGGAGGGGAGCGCTAAGTGTCAGGGAACCGACTCCTGTTGGAGAAGAGGGAGTTACGTGGTCCACAAGTCCGCTGCTCAGAGCCCTCTCTGTTTCTTGCTCCTGAGAAAGCAAATCATGGATAAATAAACTGCGGTTTAGTTTCAGGCTATCAAGCATCCCTGTGTGTTCCAGCACTAATTGTCCTGATGGCAGGACACCCAGGTTGCATGGACCAAGAACACTTTCAGACACAGCAGAACAAACGTGTCTGTCAACTTCCACCTGGTTCATAGACCTACCTCAGGAGGGCTTCCCTGGTGGCTCAGATGGTCAAGAATCCGCCTGCAGCTGAGGAGACCCAGGTTCCATCCCTGGGTCAGGAAGATCCCCTGGAGAAGGGAACTGGCAACCCACTCCAGTGTTCTTGCCTGGAGAATTTCATGGAACGAAGAGCCTGGTGCGCTACTGTCCATGCGATCACAAAGAGTCAGACATGAAGAGCCACTAACACTTTCACAGGAGCTTAAGTCAGAAATCATAAAATTTACCTTCAAAGTGGGTGGTGACAATAAAAAAAAAATCTTGCTACAATAATTCTAGTATCACTACAAGGGGAGGTCTTCCCTGGTGGCTCAGTGGTAAAGAATCCGCCTGCCAACAAGGGTTCAATCTCTGGTCCGGGAAGATCCCATATACCTTGGAGCAACTGAGCCAGAGAGCCACAATGATCAAGCCTGCGCTCCAGAGCCTGGAAGCTGCAGCTACTGAAGCCCATGCACCCTACAGTCCGT